AAAATAAAACATGTGCTGCCTCTACTGTATACACTACAGTATATACAGTATTCTAGCATAGTCTGCATAGACAATTCAAAAGACATTGCATTGACATGCTTAAAGCCATATCAGGAATGACACGTAGCATCATACGCGCTTTTGCTTGCATTTCCAGTCCCTGTCTTTTGGATGGTCTATGATTCTAGCGATATCTAGTATAACAGGGAGCGCCATTAAAATCTTTTCCTGGAAATTTTCTAGACTGAATTGATGGGAAATTGTTACATAAAAATAAGGCATGATTGGTACAATTTTGAATAAAAACTAACTATAATACAAGGCATTTTTTATATGTATAGCCGTATTGTGGGCGTGTGTTAATTGATTTATGGGTGTGTGTTAATTATTGTCACAATTTCATTATTACCCAAAAGCTAGTCGGAAAGAACTACAGGGTGTGAAAACTTTATACAAACATTTGTAGATTGGGGGTCTGCTAGTATCTTTACCACTAAAATTATTCGGAAATTAAAACGCAATTTGAATTAGTCATTTCCAAATCGAGCAGAGGACTAGGTCTAGTTGATGTTCGGAGGGACGTTTGGAGGGACAACAAGTTCTAGTGAGCGAGCTAAATATATATTAAAAGATGCCTTATTATAATTGTTGCATTTCAGGCTGCACAAATAACTTTAGGAATGTAGGAAAACTTCCTAGATGCCATATCGGCATATTGTTTATTTTTTGTCCCTCCAAACAAGGGACTAGACCCTGTCCTCTGCTCGATTGGGAAATGGCTAATTTATAGGCCGGGTGCAAATTTGTAAGGTGTTTTATGAGCTATAAAAGTTCCAGACAATTTCATGTACACTAATTCAAACGTGCCACACCTAAAACTTGGCATTTTTGCCTTACTAGCCGTTTTTAATATATACCCATGCACAAATTATTAAACGCACGACTGAATTTTATGCACGATTGATTTTATGGATGATTGATTTATTCGGCTAACAGTTTAAAAATTATGCGTGGAAGGCTACTATGCCTATGGCAAAAAAGTCCAAGTTTTATATGTTGCGCTTTGGACTTAGATATAGTGTACATCAAATTGTCTTGTACTTTGATAATTCATAAAACTTACAATTTGCACCCTATGAATTCAAATTGCACTGCGGCTGTCCACCTTGCCTCTACGTATTAATCAGTCTAGAGCAATATTATCTCAACTTCCTAACTACTGAATCGATTGATTCTTTGCTACTCATTCGAGGCATCTTTCATGTTTACTGACTTAAAATTAATAATTTATAAATTATTAAGTATTTGTTCGTTTTATCGTTGTTGTACCGTGCATGTATATATTTAAATATTTTATAACAGTTTATATATCGACAATTAATGTTGTTAATATGGTAGTTTTGATACAGGACCCCACTGGGCCCTGGCGTATGTGATGTCGGTATCCTGGATAAATATTATTAACTGATTGCGTTTTAAGCTTCCATTTTTGCGCGCAATGAAGGATTCATCACACCTGATCGGAATGGACAATTTTTTGCCGATTTTAACCTATAATTTATTAGGCTATAATATAGTATTCCAATAAACTATCCATGACTATTCCAATTCAATAGATCTGATTCCAGCTATATATAGACTAAATTTTGATCTAGGCCGAAGAAGAACGAAATCCATCAGCACAGCTAGAAAGAACACATGCTAATTAAACTGAATTAGTAAAATTTGCCAAGTTTGGTTGCGAAATGTTGTAAAATGCGGGAAATATACCCCTGCGAAATTTTCAAATTTTGGTATTAATTTGTATAACGCGCGGGAAATGCACCACATTTGGGCCGAAAGTGGTGCATTTTCCTGCGCGCAATACAAATCAATACAAAATTTGCAAATTTCGTAAGGCTATATCTTGCGCATATCTTTTGCAACATTTCACAAACAAACTTTGCAGTTTACTAATTTTAAAATTTAACATGCTCTTTCTAGTTGTGGTGATGGATTTTGTTCTTCTTTTGCCTAGATCAAAATTTAGTCTATAGCTGGAGAATCATCTATTATTCCAGGGATGGATCCAGCATGATCTGGTAGGGGGGGGGGGGGGGCTCTGCCAAAAAAAATTTTTTCGGAGAGCAACAACCTCCCCCCTCCCTCCCTCCCTGTTTAGGGAAAAATGTTTCCGGACGAGGACGTTGCAATTGCTTTCCAGTGACTTTACACGTCCATCGACTTACTTCACTACTGCAAAGTCTTGCTTGACTACATTTTTTGAATTGTGATTGTTGTTCACAGTTCGCTTATCATCATGTTATTACTCAAATTACTGAATCTCATTTGATCTCTGATAATTTTTAGCTTTATCATGAAAAATAGCACCCCCCTGGCCAGGGCTAGGGGTGTGTGCACCCCTGTATTATTCTGTAGAGTATAAACATTGCATGGCAGATCTGACCGAGCTGAAAAGGAAATATTACAACAAGCTTTCGTTGGAATAGGGATGCAACTACCTGAAAAATAAAGGAGAGGTCGTTGCATCCCTATCAACGAAAGCTTGTTCATTTGATTGGCACTACCTATACACTGGCAAATATATACAGTTCAAGATTATATCAAAGGAAATATTACTCTCTTTTCAGGGACGAAACAATAAATAACCATGGCTGAGAACAATCTGCACTGGGCAGATTGGTTTATCATCGTTTTTTATTTCTTTTTTACCATTGGTGTTGGTCTGTTTGTAAGTAAATGCTTTTTAAATGGATTTTTGTAACTACTGCCGGGACCGATTGTACTAATATTGAATAGTGATTTTTTTCAAGCTTTCGAAAATTGTTCTTTGATTGGTATAGCCCAGATGTTAACGGAACTTCGACATTAGCGACGTCCAGATTTGACTTCCATTACCACTACCTCCCGCTGGCTCAGTACCCATCTGATTGGTTAATCGGATATATCAAACGCATCTGTTAATCGGATATATCAAACGCATCTTTTTGGCAAAATTTCCAAACATCACTCGTACTATTAATCCCTAATTGTACTCGCCATCGCATGATTACCTATACTAACATTTTGCTCTGAGGGGTGCCGAAAATTCAGGGGGAGAGGTGAGCGACCAGGGACTGGGAAGGGGGCAAAGCCCGCAGGAAATGTTGAGATTTTCGGTCTTATTATTTTTGGTCTTAGAGATTTTTGGTCTTATCAGTTATCCTACTTTATTATTATTTTACTCGTCCTAACACCAGACGATTTTACACGGCAAGGAGAGAGATAGGTTAATATCATAAGGGGATGATTACAGTATACTGGTGATGACATATGATACACTCGCAATTT